GACCATCAACCAGGATACAGTGACTTTTGCAATGTGCTTTTTGTGTGTCAGGAAGTGTGAGGATGGTGCAAGGTAGAGCAGGGGTCGGATCTTTTGTTCATAGGGTCAGTATGAGTCATATTTGACTGCACATCACAATAACAACAACAACCTGTCACTCTCAATTTTCCAGCTATTTACTACATTAATAGCACTTTCAGGGAAGCACAAGTACAAAATTTAGCAGATTTAGTTTGCTTAAAGATGGTTTATACCAATAATAGGCAATAATAAAAAATCATCAGTCAAGCATATGTCAACTTCACATTGAAATTATTATGCAGTGAGGTTCAAGGAAAAAGTATGAATTACATCTAAATGTAATAGTTTTCGGAAGTCAATATATTATTTAAATTGGAAACAAAAAATATAATTGCTAGGGATTATCAATAATTGTTTAAAATGAAAAAGTACACAGCAGTTAAAAATATAAATAAGAAGATTTGACAATCTTCCAAGTGTATGAAATACATATATTAATGTTATGAAATATATATCAATACATAATAAATATATTAATGTTAATGAAAATATATAATGTTATTGCTATGTGCTACTGGATCAGAACCAATTAATAGCTACTTTTCAGAAGAATTTTCTGAGGTTGTAAATTGCACAGGAAGATATATTCTATCTTTCTCCCATGGAACACCTAGTGGATTCAAACCACATGCATTTGGGATGACCAAGCAACTCCTAAAAACGAAGCCACCAGGATTTTCGTGCAGTGTGTGTGTGTGTGTGTGTGTTTGTGTGTATGTGTGTGTGTGTTTGTGAGACAGACAGAGAGAGAGAGAGAGAGACAGAGAGATGTCTAAGTCTTAGACTCCTGGAAAGATAAAAAAAATAACTTGAGACTTAGAAGACCTTAATAAGAAGCCAGTCTTCTGGTCTTTTAAAAAATGTCTATCTTAAAACCTCTATGACATCAAACTTAGCTTATTTTTTAAGTGGAAATGTTATATTTAAAGACTCACAGTTTATGCTGTGTTCTGATATAGAACCATGGTTATTGTTCATGTACTCTATTTAGGAAAAAATTTTAGGGACATGGGTTCTGTATTCTCATTTTCATAAAGTTGGAACTCACTCACAATTGACCATCCAGGGGGTTTTCAGAAGCTAGAAATTACACAGGAGGAGATGACTGTTCTACCTCCCACAGTATTTCTGGTAGATTCAACCCACGTGCTTTTGTGTTGACACTGCATCTCGTTACCAACTAGGCCACGAGAGCTCCAGTTTTTGCTATGCACTTGAGAGTTGGACAGTGACTAAGGACAACAAAAGAAGAATCAATTCCATTGAGTTGTAGTGCTAGAAATGAATACTAAATATCCTATGGACTGTCAAGAGAACAAATAAATATGGCTAAGGAGCCAGGATGCTCCTTAGAGGATAGGATAGTGAAATATATTTTGGGCATGTTGTCAGGAGGGGCTAGATCTTGGAAAGAGAACATTCTCTGAAGAGTGGAGAGTTAGTGAAGGAGGAGAAGATCCACAATAAGATGGAATGATAACAGGGACTGTAACAATAGACTCAAGTGTGGCAGATATGAAGAGGAGGGTAAACAAAAGAGCAGGGTTCAGATCTGTCCTTCATAATGTCAGTATCAATTGTTGATGATTCAAAGGCACCTACAAAAAGGGTCTCCACTTATCTGGAACTGTTGAAACTCAGATTTTTCAACAGTGTGGCTTATGTAGAGGTAGCCTGCTCTTTTCTATACATCCAGGAGATAGTCTCATATCTCTCAAGGCATGTGCCAGCTTTAAGACAAAAAATTACTGGTGAGTGTTTATTCAAGATATGCAGTTTATTTCCCCCCAAAGCATTTACCAGCTCTACGATAAGAAATTTCTGGCAAGTGGTTATTCTAGGAGTGCAGATTTCTAAACTCATAGGTAAAGGGCAATCCAAGAAAGAAAAAATACACATTTTTGGTGATTAAATGAAAAAGGAGAAGATTCTAGAGAAGAGAATTCTAAAATTTCAAAAGCACGATTTTGTATTAGGAGAAGCAGCAATGTTGTACATTTGAAATTTGAAAGGTTGAAGTTAAGAATGTATTTCATATATTATTATATTATCTAAGAGCCCAGCCTCCATGATAAT